CCTCCCACTTTAAGTAATTATATTAGTGACAGAGGATAACATTTTGTGAAACAAAAATGAGAAGCGAGATTTAAGCACCGCAAAAAAGTCGTGAACAGCAGTCGGAAACGACATCACAAATCCCGATTGCAGCATATAGATGTTATCAGAGCAATTCCCGCTTGGAGTTCTGGTTGGTCATTGACCCGCAATTTTTTATTCGAAACACTTGTACGCCAGTATCATGAAACATATTAGTTTAAACCCCGTTATTGTATTCCATATAGTGCTGGTCGTGTTGGTTCAACTTGTGGTAGTGCATTCGTACCTTTAATAATGCAACACAGGGTTATACAGCAATATGTGCTGACTAACACTTTAAAGTTGGGTAGCGTATTTGATACATGTGCACCGGCTGGTTTTATGGACACCAAGAACCTACGCCCACGACAGCCAATATTCAAGCAGGAAGGAATTATACATACCACAACGACGGACTTGGGGTTTCAGCGAATCGTCGGTAGCAACGGGACCCAGTCCCCGTAAGACATGGCCTTGTGTTTGAAGTAGGCAGAAAATTAAACCACAAATTGTCCAAGTAGAAACGTCGGCCATCCCGAAATTTAGGCGAACCTGTACGTCGACCAAATGTTGAATTGATTGAAGACTATATATCTGTAATGTGGCGTAGTTTTTATTCCGAAAGGTCACTGACACGGAAGTAGTCTATTTCAAACTATTTAACTCAGAAAAAAATTCACGGACGTGCGAACAAAGGAATTTTTGTTTTTCATTCTCAGGCGGTTGACATTGAGAATTCGGTTATTGCATTGACATGTGATATGTACCCATAAAGTCGAACACGGAACGTACGTTCTTATTGTAAAATGCTTCCTCGTTGCATACAAGTGAGGGAATGAGGAAGTGACCTGTTTATAATCCTGCACAAATAGCACACTTTCTTTTGAATCAGACCATATAGAAATTTTATTTTAAAAGGAAAATTGCCACTACTCAGCACGTTTCTTGTTTAAAAGTCAGTCATACAGTGTATACCAAAGAATTGTCCAGTGACTCGCTATGTAACTACGTAGTCGGCACATAATTCTAACGGCGTCACAGAATGGCGGTCGTATTAGATGTACAAGAATAACAAGCCAAGAATAACGTCATACCTTCACGTAACATGAATATTCATCACCAAATGGCATGCGCGCAGTCCCGTCAGCAAATCAAATAGCTTGATTTTTATCACGTGTTCATGACTTCAGCTTGTTTCCATAGACACGCATGCGCACACTGACCATAAGTAAGCCCCACAAATGGCCAAGGAAGTGTTCACGTCTTTGCAATACTGCGTTTATTATATTTTCCCCCAGCGTTAAACAGCTTCAAGCTCAAAAACAGATAATTTGTTGTTTTTGCGCCACCGTCACTGTATTATCTCACGCTGGCATATGTACATGTGTTACACTCCGCATTCTCACAGCTGGGGTTTGCATATTCGTAACATGCACTCATTGTTTGAAGTCCTGTTTGCTCGAAATCATGAAATCTGTCATCATATGAAGGGATATTGCCAGTGGTAACTTTATAATTACCGTGATACATTGTCGGATAAGTGTGACATTTATGTTCATTGTACTGAGAACAAAACTATCAATACGTGTTCAGTCATAAATCACCTGGAAGACCCATTGCAACAATGTTTCCTTATCAGTTTTTTGATCCTCCCTACTTACGAATTTCGCCCTCAACGGCATATGGTGGTATACACTCGTTTTTGGTGACTGTGAAAGGAATAAGGAGTTACCACTGACTAATAGGGAAAAAGCAAAACAATTAAAGTGCTCCGAATCTAGACAAATAGTTTCCACTTCCTGGTTTCAGTTCCCTGTATGCGACACACAGACAAATGAACAAAATTGAAATAGAATTACTTGTCTAGGTATAGCTTTAGTATCACAGAAATATGAATTAGCATTAAATATTTCACGATTACTTCCGATGCATAGTTAATCTAAAATGAAATCGTTAACTATATCGTTGTTTCTTTACGTGTTCATCGTTGCAAATAATGGAGGTCTTGGTAGTCTCGATAAATCGATCGACGTATAGAAGCTTTTGGATATTTTTGGTGATGATTTCATGTTCGACATGCCCCGGCTTTTGCACTTATATAAGGAAGACGTAGCGATATCGTCTTCTCAGTTGTTAAAGGGTTCGCTACTGCGAGCCAGTGGTGAAGTCGACCAATTAATTGAAAACTGCGGCGAGTATCTACGCATATTTAAAACATGTATTACCATATCTTGCTGTGGCGTGCTGTGGTTTGGGATTTCATTTGTGTATTCGATAACGGGAAAGGGTAAACCACATTTATTCATAGTGACTTGGTCATAAATCGAAAATGTTGTTTCTGAAATGTAATTTGTTTAGAATAAATGTCAGACATTCACAATGACACGTTGACGTGCCTTGTTTTCGAGCTCAAAGATATTACGTAATTACTACGCACGCGCAATTAATAGTTTTGTTAAATATGGCTTTGAATTGTCTACGACAGAAGTGATTCTTGAAAAAAAAATGACTGGGTGAAATTGAAATTATGATCCAATTCCAATCGTGTGTCACTTCGCAGTAATAATGTTCAATCTCAAAGATACTGTTTCCCGTTAAAATTGATATCTGAATGCCGGGGATATTTTTTTACAATTATCTAGAACTCCAGAGGCGCTCTCAAGTGGCCCGGGCCGGTTAAAGGGGTGGCTGGGAGGCCTTAAACGCCTGGTACCTTCCAAAATTCAAGTTTCATCTGGGTATCATGGAGTATCTAGAAGTATTCATGAACGTTACCAAGTTGGTAGTCTTCAAGTCATGTGACTTAGGTTGGGACAATGATATATATCTTAGTATAATCAATAGAATGACTTATGATTATTTGTTAAATGAAACACATCAAGCAAATAAAGGCAGATATGTTGGTATAATGGCAAAGATCTGTATTAGATTGATTGTATGGCAAGTATGTTTGCCTAATGACACATTCCATATTCTGATACTGTTTATTCAATCCAACGGGTCTTTGAGGCTTACTTTCAATAGATCGCAGCGAAGCGGCTGCTCTGCTAAGTACAACACCTACATATAACACACTACCACCCCACCAATTGCTTGCTCATACGTATAGTAATTGCTCACATGTTGTTGTCACAGGTTCAAAAGAGCACGAATTTAACTTGAATTGGTCACCCAGGGGACCGCTGAAAATTGGCAGTACGAACACAGTAACATTTGAAGCAACTGCAGGTGAGGTAACCACAAGCACTACAGTCGATGTGCGGTCGGGTTGGAACAACTCAAATCGTATTGGTACGGACAGAGGAGTATAAACTGCAATATTTACATTATGTGTGAAGAATTGTAATATAACTGTAATAGGATTGCCTCGGTGTTGAAGTACTGTATTACACAGCAAATATTAAAATCACCGCATTATTTTTTCTTGGATGAAAAACGAACCCTTTTTTGTCGCGTTTGCGAATCCCTGTTATGTTTATAGATTGCCTCATGGAATGTATTCTATTCTGTTCTTATTTTATTTTTGGTAGCACTGGATATTAATAAAAACGCATTAATGTCGCCCGAAATTTATCACGATGGTAACCGTATGACTCCGCATTTAACAAATATACCTTATTGCCGATTTATAAAGCGATACAGGAAGTTTTACGACGCCCTCTGTGGTACAATAAAGAAAGGAGGTAGGGAGCTACTATTTGTACAGAGGACACTGTGTTTGGGATGATGGACGTGAAAATCATTCGTAGATCACTTGTTGAACATTCTAGCCTTTTTCATTGCGTTTATTAATTGCTCGGTAAAGTACAGTTTTCCTTTGTTTATTGTAGAAAAAGTGCACGTGGAAGGAAGTGGGACAATTCCCAGCCAGCTCAAACCGGTAAGATTTACTATGATTTGAGGATCGGAGCGAGTTTAATGTTTGTGATTACGCAGATAATCTCCCAGACAACCACGTTAAAAGGCTAATTATGATATGTTATTGTTATTGTTTGTTTCCTTCACAAATTCAATTACGGAAGTGACGTCAAATACAATTTTCAACAGATTTTTTTTTATTATCTTTAGTAAAACTATGCATGTGATTGTATCAATTGCAATAAAATACACTCGTGAGTGTTCATCTCTTTGAATTTCACAGAATCATGTTATTAAAATGGTTTAGTTTCCTGCATACATTTCGACGCTGAAGGATGATTATCGTATTGCACAACAAGCCGGTGGAATGTGGCAGGGGACCGAAGTATATTTAGAACATGATTGATTTTACCTAGATAAAGTACTGGGACGTGTTATGAATATTGGACATAATCCCAATTTTATTTTTCCGCGGTCCTCGGACTATTTAGTGAGGTCGCCAGCCTTTTTGAAATCTACTTGTTTTGTATTGCAGGGGCGTTATCATGGAAATGTTAAAATTCATACTAGTGTCGGAGACCCGATATTGTGCATAGCATTTAGTGTTATGATGAATTGACGCAAACACAGCCTGTCAGTTTCGTAATTCCTGTACTGATCTACTTATACTTCGGATATGCCTATGGCGATGGATTAGTATTAAAGCGTTCCAGTCGCCACGTGTTTCAATTTCATGTATACTAAACCAGTGTATTTCAAGTAAACAGTGTGTTTTTGTGTGCATATACCTAGTTCACACAGACTGGTTAAGTAGTTAAGTCCGTGTTTAAATATATCCGTACCCTACCACTACGGTTATATTTTGCCGGTTATTTCCTTACATTTTGGCTTCCGAAATTTTACCTTTCGATGGTACTATTCTGCTGGTCTATCTTAACCCTAATTCATTTCCTTTTCTGCAATAATCCTGTAAACTCTCACGGAAGGTTTCGTCTAGCAATTTAAAATTAAATTTCCTGTTACCAAATATAAATCAGTAGCAGGACTTCGTCAATTATCTTGGATAATTTATTTTGGCAACTGCTCGCTGACAAGAGCGGTACGTGTATCAGTCGTCGCCATGTTGTTGCTATGGACGCACGTGCATTCCTGATTGTTTAGAATGTTATAACTTGTTTACACGCGTTCTTGTTCGTCAGACGTCAGTGTGGCACTGCCTTATTTCGCCCAGTGCGTACAAGACTTATGATCTTTTGGGTTTGCTCAATCACAGTCCATCTACAGAGGGACTGTGCCTCAATACATTTCCCGGACGTGATGGGTTCTCATTTAAATATCATAAGAAAAAATGAATAAACCTGTCACTACTGCATAACGCAGCTCTTACGTAACCATACACGAATAAAATACGCAAATAAAACTGAACGAATTGTTCATTTGATAGTCAGCCATTCTGTGTACCTGTTATTTACTTTCGGTTCCGTTCCTCTCCATGCGTCCGCGCGCGCGTCCTCGTCATCCGATCCACGCGAACAGTAGAGATTCGAAGAGGAAGAGCATGAGCGTGTTTTCGCGAGAACACGTTCTATCGCCCATGTCTTAGCATAGGACAAATTGCATAAACGGATTGTGTTTTACTTTCGCGAAACTGTATTGGACCTAGAAATTTGATAGTTTTCAGTAACAATTCCACTACTCATCCATTGCTATGCTGATTAGGCTATCTGTCTGTTCTAATTGTTTAGGCAATGAGTAATGAAGGCATGTTTCAAACAAATACTATTATCAGGAAAACTTATTCCATTCAAACATACCTTACAATTTCCGATGCAATTGTAAAACCAATTATGCTTTACTACGGGTAAAAATGGACGAGCGAGAACCTCAACAAATCACGTCTCGTGGCAAATCTGTCTACACCAATAGAAGCAGTGCAAATACATTTCTCCAAATACTTTCTAAAAGTAAATAGCAAAGCAAGTAATTTGGCAAGCCTGACAGAGTTTTCCTGGCAACAAGCTTAAAATACATGATCAAATATTGGATGAAAATAAATAATTATAATCAATTTGGCTAGTTCATAAAGCTTATAAAGTTGGAACATATCTCGATGAAGGGGGAAAAGACAACCGGATAACATAGAACATAGAACAAATTTTAGAAAATTCTAATATGGGGAATATTTGGAAAACCACAAATCTAACGACGACAAAACATCTTTGACAATAACACGCAAATTAAACAATCTTTTGAAATGCATAGCACAGAAATGAGCCCATTTGTTGAATACAACAGCAAATATGCTCTCTGGTGTCCAGAGAGGGAGCAGCCATCAAGCCTTTACGACGAAAAATCGTTGATGGTTCGTTTTAAGAATATTTTGTACACAGAGTAGAGTACAGTTAAAGCGAGAGGGTCGTCACCTGCGCACGCGCGGGAATTGAGTCCCAAGCGACGATAACAACACATGCTAAAACGCAAAGGCTCAGGGGTAGACGCTAGTTTGTAAACAATGACACGCTATGGCCATCTGACGCATGTGCAGGTGACAACTCCCCCGTTTCAAGCATGATACCAGTTACGACACAACGTACAGCCATTATCTCGTACCATCACCTGATCATCTGCTGGCATTCGCCTGGATTCTAAATCTAGACAGCATATACATATATTTGAGCATGCGTAGTTTATTTAAATGGCCGTTGATTTGCAGGGATGTTTTGAATAGAAACAATTTCTCGGCACTTCACTTGTAACGCATGCATACCATACACATTTATATTTATTCGTGATATATGTTCTCTGATTATCGCACAGACACAATCATTGAACTCTAGGTTTTTTGAAATTATTCAACACTCGCCAAGTTGTAAATCAATAAAACTATTAATCGTACTATGTTGCAAAGCCGCGGGACCACTATAACGATGAAAAGACCAGATTCAAATAATTAGGTTGAAAAAACGGTATTTTGGAATACAAAATTACAGTTAAATTAGATTGAATTTTCAGATTGACATTATGAAATAAAAAAACATTCAATATTACTGTATGCCACAATAGATTATTTAATTATTTAATCCATCATTAGTTAGAATTAAAATACTAGTACAAGATATTAATTACTACAAAAATAACATTTTTCCCGGAAAACAAATTGTCCATAAGTCAACTATGAACCTTACACTTAAATGCCGGTTCATTATCACCTATTGATGAAATTAATCATTTATTAATCAAATTATTATCACGTCCTTGCTGATACGTGTATTTGTATGTATATTCATACATGACTTGTAGATTATCATAAACATATCACGCCATCAACGGTTCATTCTTCATCATCATCAAATGGATACATAGGATGTCCTTTGAAACTGTAAGATAACAGAGATATCACATTATAATCAATAAACAATATTTCTATACGAAACCTTTTATATCTTAAAAAAACATTTATCCCGTCATCTAAACTTGTCACAGAATATTCAGTCACTGTTATATCAAAACATGTCTTCCTTACCCAATTTTCATATTTCATTCTAATTCGATTGAATTAAATCACAAGGCTCAAATTCAACATAAACTATTCATAAAATCACTCACAGCAGATAAGACCTGTAATTCTTGTTCATTCCACCGAGTTTAGTCAATTCTTCACCAGATAAGTCAAAGTCGAATACCTGGGTGAAATGAACATACAAAAAACGATTAACCACGACTTCAATACTTAATATAACAAACAGCCTCTCGACTGAGATAGCTTTGCTGTTAGCAATGAACATTTCAATTAAAGAACTGAAGATATCATCACGAAATGAACAAATCTGAGAGAGGTCTACCTGAGGTACCCATATATATAATATCCAAGCAATTGGACTTTTCAACAAGAAATCGAAAAAATAAAAAGTTGACACGGACGACGACAGCCGCCGACGGACAGTCACTTATATGATAGGCTCCGCTCGACAAAGTCGACAGCGGAGCTAAAAAATGGTTGCCACAATCAAATCAAAGATTAATTCAATCCTGGAAATTACCTCAAAGTTTTCCTTTATTCTTTTCTCGTTTGAACTTTTTGGAATCACTACGATGTCTCGTTGGATATGGTAGCGAAGAAGAACTTGTCCAGCAGTCTTTTTGTGTTTTGCGGCAATTGCCAGTACAGCAGGATCTTGTAAAAGACCTGGCTTGGTATCATCAGTCAACCTTCAGACGTATTTAGTATGAATAATGACGTTAGTTTTGTTTTTGAACTTGTAAGTTTCCCTATGCGACTTTTGTTATTCCCACTTTAATACAACAATTTTTTTTTTTAATATTTCACACACTCACTATTATTGTGAAACAATAGCCCATTTATAGATTAACTGATTGTTGACACATCAATGTAATGCACACAATTATGAAACCAATATATTATAGCATAACTAGTAGCTTCGCGGTGAGTGGCTTTCGTGGTAATTGGGTTTCGTATCTGGTGGGTTTCGCGGGGAGTGGGACTTTGTCTCAGTAACTGGTCCTTTCATCCTTGTTGAGAATTAAAGTTTTACGTTTTTTTAACAACTGGCGCTATTCTGGGAATACCATCCTGGCAGGAGTTCCAAAATAAGACTCATTCTCTGACAATGCCTCTAGTTTCAAAGAGCAATAAACATTACCATTATGAACTTATGGGTGTTGCAAAGGATAGTTGAATATTGTTTATTGCAATTAATAATAATCCCCATAACCGTGTTCCAATACAGAGAAATTGAAGTACGTAACAAACTATATAACCCAGTCTCAACAATGAAATAAAGGAATGTATAAAGTTCACAACTGGCGATTTAGCAATATTAGGGATTGTCAAATGTGAATTTGATTAGCTAACGTTTTTAGGTTCATGCGCTGCAAGTTACAGAGCACGTACCTAAGCGGCCGTCCCCCAGCAAATAATTAAGCCAAGGCGGTTTCGATATCGAAATCGAGAAATTCTCCGTTTTTAACAATCTGGGAAGTTCGAATTACTAAATGAAGTACAGACGACGAAGCTGAAATATCCAAGAACCAACACATACCAAAAATCTCTTTTGTATAAGGTAGTAACAACTTGTCAATAATTATGGGATTATTTGTAAGCATAAGACTGTTATGTGAACTCCGTTCATTAATGGAATACTGCGCGATGACGCTATTTTCAGGGCCTAACTGACTCAGACTCCTATATTGACTATGTCCCGGGCTGTTTACTAGTACCAGCCTACTTACTTGTCAGTGTCTGACTGTTATATACAACCCAGAACACATCAGAATAGTGAAAAAAGTCAGCAAATGCCCGTGCCATGAGAGCCGGCAACAGAACCAAAACAATCTGCCAGCCTTCGCCGCCCACAGCATTGATATGATTTTACATTGCATAGAAATGAACACTAAATGCAGCTATACCCAGCCAGTCAGCAATCACATCATCAATCCTCATGAGTGATGTAACTGGTATTTCCACCTATTTGCTTAGTGGTCCGTACGTGAATGTTGTCCAGTTTGAGTGTGTTTTGACGTACAGCAACGTGAACATTATTGCTACAATTTTGGGCTTTAACATGTTCTATATTCACCCAAAACAACAACAAATCTGAAGCAAAAGTAACCGCAAAATGATAACACTCAAAATATTTATAATATAACCTGGACAAAAGATTTATTTATTATTGTTCCATGCCATGAGACATTTCCCCTATCTGTGTTACTTCATATTTTAGTATAAGGTAGTAAGAATGCGTAAATATACGTTAACTGGGATGTATATATCCAAGATAGTTTCTAGTGCAGTCTTTCATATTACTTGACAATAGTTTACAAACTATTTTGTAAGTTATAAAATTGGTATACGTTAACTCGGATGTAACAGAAGTAAGTAAAAGTAACATCCCAGTAAGTAAAAGAACTCATGTTTTAATTGGTCGTAAAAGGGCTAGAGGAGACGACTTAACACTTACTGTCCGTCAATTACTGAGATACAAAGGGTGGCAGTCGCCTGACTCAAGGTGTTGACGGGGTGTCAAATCGCGACTTTACTTACTCCTTGGCCGGTATGCCTTTGATATTGCTCTATAAAATTCACAACAATGAGTTGAATCCAGGTGGGCATGGAAGCTGTGATGTTTTTCAATAAAGACAACTTACTACGAACACGTAAGATATATGTGCTATTTATCCGCTTTCAACGCATGAACCCCCCCCCCCCCCACGAACCCTGATATGACGCGTTTTATGTTTGGATTCCGACACAAGCGATTTAATAAAATTAAGAAATTTCAATATAAAATATTCCATCACTGACAATGATGGGTGTATTTTACGGTTAGTGTTTGTTACGAAAATATTTGATCACTATTTTATAAAATGGCTTTGTAATTCCCATCACCAATTACATATAATGCACATCATGTTACTACCAGTAATCCAACATCACTCTCGATAATTTTGTTTACTCTGTGTGTGTACTATGGTTACATTTTAAGTTTTTATCATTTTAATGGTGTGCATATTTTACCGGTAGTACATAAAGGTCCTACCTGTTATCCAGAGTCTCATGTTGACTATGCGCCGGATCGTTTACTTACTGATCCGTGTAAACTTTGACCGAGAAATAGTCCGAATAGTAAAAAAAAATAAAAGTCAGTTGCCCGTGTCAAGAAAGCTTACAGAATCAAAATAGTCAGTCAGCCGTTGATGTTCATGTCATGAATTTGTTTTTGCGTATCTGTTAACCGACTTAATTAGTTGATTATTAGCGAATTGCTGTGTTATGTCTGTCATCGTTTAGGCCTATTTGAAGTTTTGGACGGAACTTGGCTCAGTGATTTGGAACTAATTACCAGATAACCGTCGCGATTCTGACAGTTGGTATTCATAGTTATTAATGTAGTGAACGATTAATCAAAAAATCTGACGTGTTCAGTACTTAGTGTGATTGGCTTTATGATTGAAGGTTACGCCCTAGAGTCTTTTTACTGCTTTGTAATTGGTTAGAGTTTTGAAAATGAATAAAGAGAGTTTGAGTTGGTCTTGGGGAGCACAGACGCAGTAGAGAGTCGTGGTCCAGTCCTGGAGAGCCTTGGGGCGAGTATTGGCGCAGTCTAAGAGAGTCTTGGGGATTTTTCCCCAGGGCGCCGTGTCTTATAGAGTGCTCCAAAAGATCGACTGAGACGAGAGTTGAAACGTATTTCGTTGTGTGTGCCTTATTTGACTGTAAAGTATAAGTGACTTTCCCGATCCCGTACCTCAAGGGGACACGATATAGAGACGAGACGAGATTCCCCCCTGACACGTGTGGAGAACCCAGAGAGAGAAAGAATTTACCCCTGATATTCATACCAGCAATATTTTACATATAGAAATTGAGAATCACAATTGCATAGAAAGGAAGAATACAGCTATTCCATCCATCAGGCCATCAATCGAGTCATCAGTTTTCATGATTGATTTAACTGATATTTCCATTAATATGGTTAGTTGTTAGAGACTGAATGTTGTCAAGCTCGAGAGTGTGTTTTTACGTACGGCAACGTCAACATTATCGATTACATCACAGTCCCTCAACACTGTGATTACATTAAAAACGCATTTAAAAGGAAGTGCCATTGTAAAATTTCAGAGAGCAGAGGACTTTTTATACTGGAGACGTTCCAGTACGGATCCGGCGTTGTTCGATTGGCATATCAAAATTCTTTATTTGAATAGGGCATATTCTATTATATTCATCAAAATAACAACGTTGCCATGTTTCTGAGCATGCATCGAACTTGAAACAAAAGAAATCGTTCGATCCAAATGACCTGCATCCTTGAAAATCAAGTCTTATGCCCCTGGTGTTTCCGAGCGAAAATACCAGCGAAGATTCCCGGGGAACAAATAGTAATGCCGTATTTCACTTTGATGAGGGAATAGGTGACATAGGTCAAAAAAAATTTGGGGGAATCCGAGAACGTAACTTAATGCACGTGCATTTCACGACAAAGTTTTCAATGATTCAGCAGAGCGATTAGATAGGTTATTTATTAGAGGCGCCCGGGTAATCGAAATTTAGCGTGAATGGCTTTCCGAGCGAAAAATGTTGGGGGTAAAAAAAAAGAAACTATTTTCGCCCATTCATTCATTTTTGGGGTGATTGGCTCAGCCCAGCAGTAGTGTAGTTTATTTATTAGAGGCGCCAGGGAACCAAAATTTGGAACGTGAATTATTTGGACGACAATTATAACCAAGAGGTGAGAGACTATTTACCGCGGCGACATGCAGCTACGGTGACTGCGACTCCGATCATATTTTAATTTTAGCATGGACGTACTAGAGACGTCCATGATTTTAGTAAGCTAGGGTAAAACCCGTGTTTATGCTAAGAGAAAGTTCAGATCTTGAACGTATTTTAGTAGAAATACATTTTTGCTTATCACGGCGAACGCAATTTAGTGCGAGTGAATTTCCCTACTAACTTCCCTAGTTGTATGCGGTGTCCAGTACGGCGACCAAGGGCAAAAACAGTGTTATGCAAATTTAGCTTTAGTTGAAAATTTGAGTTTTCTGGGCGATAGGTACGTGAATTTGAACCAAAATGTTATCGGCAAGACTCAGAGTACAGCAGCGACAGCCACTGAAACGTTATTGAAGGCAAATGAACACTTCAGGCAAAAAAGACTGTTTCGAGTTGTGGCGTAAAATGGTGGCACATACCATTTTGACGCTTGAGGGGAATGGAAATCAGTTGATTTGAGGGTGTCAAAATAAGCAAATCGTTTTTATGATACAAACAAATGCCGACCTTGAATGTACTTTTTGGACTTTAGTACTACGTCCTTTTTGTTTGATTACCTAAAGTTTTTAAGTTCATGTGCTGCAAGTTACAGAGCACATACCAAAGCGGCCGCCCCTCAGCAAATAATGAAGCAAAGAAATTTTCGATGTCGAAATCGCGAAACTCGCCCTTTTTACGCAAACTGGGAAGTTGGAATTACTAAACGAAGTACATGACGACGAAGCATCCAAGAAGCATCCAAGAACCAACACATACAAAAAAAATATCTCAAAAGTGAATATTCGTGGTGTATTTTACCTCTAACCGGAACGGAAGTGAGATTTTGTTAGTAATCTAATTATTCAAACATATTTTAGTATAAGGTAGTAATCACTTTAAGGTAGAGATGCAGTTTACCCGACAGGTATTTTAATTAGTTAACTAGGAAACCAAGATGACCTTTGATGATGATATTTTCGGAAAGCTTATTGTATGAATTTTAAAATTGTGTAAGTATTTTTTTATGGACACTTTAGTTTGAAATATGCACTAAAATGTGCTTTTTTGATCAAAAGTGGTTTAAAAAATAGCTTCTAAACCATGCCTCTGTTTCCTGTCAAAATTGGTTTACGGGTACATATGTTTGTTATGAAGAAAGTGCCGTCTTGAAAACTGTCTACCAGTTGTCAATTTTGCTGGCAGCTCAAATTTCATTAATTCAAGTTTATGCATAAATTAACACCCAGGCTAGTTGTCTGTACGATTGTTGTAACACTGTTCAACCAAAAACAATGCCCGACGGCATTTTGAAGATAAAAACATTGTCCATCATTTGTGAAAATGTCAAAATAAAAGGTTAAAGCGTCTAGGAGCTATTTTTTTTTAAGTTCTGGGATGTGCACTAAAAAGAAGCTGAGATAATTGCTAATTTGCATAACAATTCACTCAGTAAGAAGTTTGCTAATGCTCATAATTAAAATGGCTGTAACAGTTCCAAATTTAAATGCATTATTGTTTTCTAAAAACTTAAATATAGTGCATAATATGAAGATCTTGTCTTTACTTTTTTCACCATGTTTCTTTTTTTATTATTTATATACAGCCTTGCTAAATCTTGCTAAGCATTCAAAAGAGAGAATGTTTGCACCTGTTATCTATATTTTAAAATCTTTTGAGTATGTTCCACTATTCAAAATTCTACAAAATTTTAACAGTCTACATCCATGACTGTTTGAATAATAAAAAGCTAAAAAAAAAAATTTCACTTCCAAGTGCCCACAAACCTGCATCTCTACCTTAATTATGGCGATCAAATCATGTATCAATAATAAATACTTGTGTGTGCGGAGTAGTTAGATAAGACAGATAGATACAGGTATACTAGTATATATTGTATCTTACCAGCCTCTACCAGGGGCACAGAATGGACTGTACGCAGTTAATGCAATATTATGTGATTTGCAGTAATCAACCAGTTTTTTCTGCGGCAAGTATGGATGTAACTCCACCTAGATAATGAAACACATCACAAACAACACTATTGTATTAATAAAATTACTTTCGCCTACTTATTGTTACTACACCTGGTTATTATCTGACTGTAACCACACCTGGTTCACGGCGATAGGATGTCTGGCAACTGATCTCAATCTCTCCAGCTGTTTGATGTTGAAATTGGACACACCAATATTCTTGCATATTCCTTCGTCGACGAACTGTTCAAATGTCTGAAATAATTAATACCATGAGGATTAAAATGTTGTGTTTATTATAACATTAAATGTAAGGTTCGTGGACACCAATAGCAAATATTCGCGTTAAAATGATTTCAAATGGGCGTGTTTCGTTTCGTTACAGTCGGTAAAGAAGTTTAGTTCTCCTGGTTTTGGTCCAGTGGAAATGAGCTTCGAAAGAGCTACTAAATGCTAATCAGTCTGAAAACAAGACTGATTATGAAAAATAAACACGTTTTTCGCGAACCTGCTTTTATACTTTAATCATAAGTTTGGTGTCCTGTAACTAGTTCAATTTTTGCAGAAACGTTTACTTTATTATCTCTGAAGGCTTATCATATTTGTACATACCTTCCAGGTATCAACATAGTCAATTTTAGAATCTTTATAGAGCTCAGAGTGGTCATCGTCATCGATAAAAACACCTGTCCCTGGCTGAAATTATAAACATCATCTAAAGTTAACCACAATTTAATTAACCAAACAAACAACCAGTCACATTTAATGACATGCTTTTACTGTATTATTAACGGCTTAAAAAGCCAATGAAGATACTATTAATTTTCACGTTACACGTGTTAGTAACGAACGCGTGGTGAACATTACAAACTACTAGTACATCATAGCCTAACTAGATGTCAAAACTAAACAGTCACAC